CCAATTGCTCGCCCCAAAGTATCATTGGGTCGGGATGGAAGCGGACTGTTTGCGGTATGTACGAAACTGCGTGACATGCCGGCTTTCTCACACCAATGTCACTAAGCAACAAGGATTTCTACACCCACTACCCGTACCCGAATACCCTATGTAACACCTCACCATGGACTTCAAGGAGTTCCCAAGGGACAAGCATGGATACGATAGCATCTTAGTGTTTATGGACCGACTCGGAAAGAGTTCAGTGACAATACCTTGCTACAAAACCACAACTGCCCGCCAGATGGCGCAATTGTTCATCGAATGGATATACCGATTCGGACACACTCCGGAGTCGATTGTAAGCGACCGCGGACCCCAATTCGTATCATCCTTTTGGCAAGAGTTCTGTCGAATTATCGGCGTTAAGGTTAAGCTGTCGACTGCCTATCATAAGCAGACCGACGGGCAGATGGAAATCATGAACCGATACATCGATCAGAGACTGAGACCCTTCGTATCCCATTATCAGGATAACTGGAGCAAACTCATCCCCATAATGGACCGCGTGCAAATGACACTCCCCCACGCATCCATTGGCATGACCCCCTACCGACTCAAGTACTGAACCGATCCGCGTACGAGTTGGGATTGGAACACTCTGAAAAGCACCAACCCCCCCCCGGGAGACCCTAAACCGAGAGGAAGCCAAGGCGGTGGCAGACCGAATGCATACCGCATGGGTCCACGCAAAGGAAAACATGGCAAAGGCACAAGAGGAAATGTCTAAGCACGCAAATCAACGCCGAAGGGCCATCGACTGGGACGTAGGAGATAGAGTGTACCTATCGACCAAAAATTTGAAAAACTCTCGTCCTAGCCGCAAGCTGGGCCAACAATGGATCGGACCATATACGGTGTCAGAACGGATTGGGCACGCATTTCGATTGGAACTACCTACCGGTTCGCAAATACACGATGTGTTCTCACCAGACGTACTCATGAAGGATCCGAACAATCCCCTACCTGGTCAGGATCCGCCTGAGCCTAGCAGCGAAGTGATAGATGGCATAGAGGAATGGGAAGTGGAAAAGATCCTCGCTGTAAGGCTCCACCGGAAGCAACTACAATACAGGGTTAGTTGGGTCGGATATGATCCGGACCTGGAGTGGTACCCAGCATCAAACTTCATGAACTCTCCCCAGAAACTCAGAGAGTTTCATACGGAATACCCAGATTTACCAGGTCCACCTCAAGAACTACTCGGAGGGGTTACGGCAGGGGAGACGGGAAAGGAACAAAACTACGATCACGGAGGGAAAGACGAAGCGGAAGAAACAGAGTCATTGCTGTCTGCGACTCTAAACTAAAATACCCTCCGAGCCAGGGCGCACTCGCCACCGTAACCCTTGCGGGAGCCACCCTTCCCAAACGTCTCACCGGCGTCACAACAAGCGGCTACCACCATGAGAGACGAAGGGTTGAAGTGACCCCACACGAAGGGCCAGGCCCGAGTCCCCTCCGACACAAGGTCTTCCCCCACCTAGGCCCCATAGGCCGCCCCAACTTCCCCATCCTCCCCCTCCCTCCTTCCATCACCCCGAGTCGGAGCGACCGCGGGAGCGGCAGCGGTGGGCAGTTTGCCCACAGCAGCCACCAACTCCCCCAAGAGAGCAGGAATGCTCTCCTGTTCCATCCGGAGACGGCGCAACGATGACCGAATTTGCTGCCCAGAGTCAGCATCAGAACCATACCGAGTCACAAGGGGAAGGGGGTCTACTCACGGCCAGCCCCAACTAGAGGGCCGCAAACTCTTCCCCAAGGAACCAGGGCAGCTTTCACCAAAGTCAGCAACGGCCAACCAAACCAAACTCCGAACCCCCCAAGAAAACCTACCGGGACGCAAGGCGAGTGCTGCGACGTGCAGTACCCACACTTTGAACTGGTCTGTAATGGTGGGCGCACCAGATATGAGAATCTAGCCACCCAAGGAAGGGATGAATTTACTAAGACAACACACTGTCTTAGGAAACAGAGCCAAAGGGTTGTAGCTTAGACTATTCCACAATGCAGCAATCAGGTGTATGATGTGGTGAAGTGGTTTAGACAAGTTGCAACAAATGTTGAGTCTGAGAACTCAGGGGTAAGTCAGAGGTTAGCACCTCACTGACTTTTCAAAAACAGAGAATAACAAGATCAATGCTTGGAAGCTTGGAAAAGACGTAGAAGTATGTGCTAGTCGATTTACTGTATTGCCTGCTTGCCCTTTCTTAAGGAAAGGGCAATCCTATTTATGCCAAAGGAGTGTAGTTCTCTCATTTTCCATGACTTTCCATGACTAACCAGGCTTGGTAAATGTATTAGAAATCAAGTGCGACCCACAACTAGCTTGCTAATCATGTAGTGAACGTAAGAGAATCCCATAGAACCATCTCTTGGGTTCCTAGCCTATAGGAAGTGAAAAGGAGGTCCAAGGTCAGAGTACCTATAGACAAATTATGTCATAACTTAACCAATCTTGTGGGTAACTAAGGAGCGATGACGTGTAATGAATCATAGAGGGTTGTAGAAGCTTCTAGAGCTATCGTTCATGTTCCTAGGCCTCTAGTTGGTAGAGATATGCCATGTGGTAGTATTGGCCCACCCCCTTAAGGAGGAGATTTTCTTAATAACTTGTTCAATGAGTGTCCAAATGATATGCTGTGATGTATGTAGCATAAACAGATGTAGTAGAAGAGTTTGCAGCAATCGTTGAGTAGTATTCCTTCTGTTGTTGGTGTGATAAGCCAAGATATGTATGGTGACTTGTAGGTTTGAGGAGGAGATTTCTAAGTTTGCTCTTGAGTTTGATAGCAAACTGAGTGCAACGAATGTCAGTATGACATGGTCGAGGACCAGACGCAGTCGTGGGACTGGATCCCACGGGCTTTGGCCCGAAGGCAGTGCAAACAGAGCACATGGAAGGCGACAGTAAGAGCCCCGGAGGGGGTGGGAACCGGCATCTTCAAATTTGGAATCTGTGATTCCGTCAGCCCAGCACAAGTTATCAACACTGCGCCAACGCGCTCCCATCACCTACTCGTTCTTTGGATTGGAGGATACTATACAATCTATCAGTATCATAAACAAACGGACGGGGAGGGGCCACTTACCGGTCTCGGGCGGGAGGGTTGCTGGCGTTGTTGTTGTAAGGTAAAAACAAGAGGAAGTGGGCGATGCGGAATACTCAAATGTTGGCTTACAACAATGAATGCCGAATCAGGTTAGCGCAGCCACTTCTTTTTTCACGTTTTACGAAAATTCTACTCAAACGGGTTGCGGACACCTCCCGGTACTGTTTCGGACCCCAAGAACGAACGTGAGATCCAACAAAAGTGAACTCCAGTTTCGCATGCCACACAGACCCTAACGCGATACCACCTCGGGATGACTACGGTGGCAAACAAAGCACCTTCCCAACACGCACGACAAACGAAGTTGTTCTGGACGCAATTACCAGCCGACATTATGATAACAAGAAACGCTCCGTTCACGGAGACGATACAGAGACGATTCGGAGACGTTGCGGACATGATACTAGCCGCGTGCCTTGCGGACAAAGCACTCTCTCAGGAGGGGGGTAGTGTAAGGATGCCTTCTCGTCTCTCATTCTAGGGAGTAGACTCCGGGTAGCCGCGGGGTCACGTGTGATCATTTGGGTGGCCTAACCGAGTCGGAACCGAGTCGGATGGGTTTCGGATACTTGAGAAAATCGACTGACGGGGTTCCCCATCATCTTTTTTGTATCCTTAGTAGTAGTCCTATAGGATAGCATCCGTTTAGCCTCCGACTCACACTCTAATATGCTATTACTGTGAGCTGGGTGCCCTGTGTCCTTACAAGAACGATATTTCTTCTAAAGACCCCTGGACGGTCTAGTTTCTCATGTTCAATCAAGTGTGCAATAGTTGATTGAGCTTGATACTCGCTTTCCATGCTTCATCCTCACGGGACGGCCTGAATGATCCAGTCTTCGCCTGGACAGTAGCCGCTGCATCCGAGAGCTTCATGCCCAGCACGTCCAACTCGCGCAAGTCGTCCTTAGTGTACGGTATGTCATTTAGCCCCACCATCCAAGACTCCAAGTCTCGGACTAAGCTACTCAACTGAGCGATGGTGATTGCAGTGGACATGGCGGGATGCTACTGTGAGACTGTGCGGCGCAGATTAATGGCAAATTACAGTATGGGCCTTCTTTGTGTGCAGAATGTTGGGAACTAACATTGTGTTGGACACAAGTTGTGCGTCGCATAAGTTGGGCACCAGAATAAGCGAGGGGTTAGGCATCCACGGTCCAATGTCCAATTAGCGAGTAAAAAAGAAGTGAGCAAAAGTTGTGCAATTGTTAAAATATGCGGCGCATGTTATTAGCATTGCATTAGACATCAGTTTCTCACTCCTGCATTCTGGCTTATACCACCATCTCCCAATCACGGTGCCGTCCTAGTTGTTCAGGGCCACTGCACTCCACTTCAATTGAGTTCCTCTTGCCGCTTTGGGGATGATAATTGGAAAAGTGGACTCTCCCTACCAACGGGCTCTGTGAATCGGTCTCGCCAGCACCCCCCCAATACTGTGTTGCAGATATGTGCTTCTCCCCGTGTTATTTGCATGAATGCACCCTTGGACCTTCTTGAATACGCAAGGCAATAGGCTGTTGGTGATCCTGAACGAAGAAGGATCGGCTTTCCTCAACTCCCCGGCCGTTGTTCATTTCAGGGGGGTTGGTCTTCTATTGACATGATGGGCGAAGAAGAATTGAGGAATATATAAGGGCACGCAATTTCCCAGAAGTTCAATCATAAACCTCTGAAGTATTCAAATCATCAATTATCTTCAGGGTTCTTACTGTTGTCTGTATCTCTCAACAACCATATCAAACCACCCGACAACGCTCTACACTGACCATGGTTCAAGAGATGATTCAAATCGGCCTTTCGCTGGGCAGTCCACGGCCAGCTACCCCACCCAGTACCCCGACGATGAGCGATAAGGATGCTAGTGAGATTCTCGCCGCTATGAAAATGCAACCCACGTCTCCAGACCCTCATTGTTATCGGTCTGAATTGTTGCCTTTCGCCCAACAGTTCCTAGACATTATCAAGTCTCTCAGTGCCACCCAGAGCACCCCTGCTCCCCCTGCTGCCGCAGACGAAGTTAAAGCCGAAGACCCTCCAGAAAGGTTTCAGACATACAAGACATTCAATGAGGTGTAAGTCTTCCTGCTGCTGACGCCTTACCCTGGCTCACAAGATACCGGTGCAGTTGGGATGAAAAGGCGTACAAGTATGTCATCGAGGAACAACACCAACCGGAAGAAAAGGTTGATGGGCTGGATCAATACGTTTTCATAGAGCGTAGGCATATTAGTTAGTATCTCCTTCCCACAAATAGTACCTGCTAACGGAAGTTTCCAGTCAAGAAAACCGAAATACCAGTGGTCTATATTGATATCAAGTCGAAATTGCTCCGAGATACCTTGAGAGTTATACTTGCACAAGCTCCTGAGATTAGTCTCAACAAGGAAAGCCTCTCCGTAAGCATACCCTATCCAACTACCACAATTGACTTTAGGTCGAGCGAAATTTCCTATTCCATTATCTCCCATATCTCGAGGCGTCCCGTAAATGGAATCGCGTTGATCCCCAGGACAGCATCATCCGGGAGCCAGTGTTTCCATTAGTATAATACTTAAGTATTCAGGCCATTATGATACGGGCCGTATCAATACGGTACGGGTGAAGCTTGATATGATACTAGTGAGCTCTGTATCAATACTTAAGTATTTCATGTAATGTTAAAAATTGAAGCTGTAAAAACTGTATACTCTATAACCCTGTGAATTTCAGAACATATTGAACTAGCTAGATATCATAGTCATCGCTGCCTCTTGCAACAATGTATCTGGGAGTGTTGACAGCTCATCATCTACAAACGGCAAAGCTGTACTCTTATTCTTCTTAAACCAAGACTTCAAGCACTCAACAGCTTGAATTGCCATAATACCTAGCCTGTTCCTACGGTCGGAAATCGTGATTTTCGCACCAGAGAACAGCCTTTCAGGCGCTGCAGACATTTGTAATGGTGGGTGCACCAGATGTGAGAATCTAGCCACCCAAGGAAGGGATGAATTTACTAAGACAACACACTGTCTTAGAAAATGAGCCAAAGGGTTGTAGCTTAGACTATTCCACAACGCAGCAATCAGGTGTGTGACGTAGTGAAGTGGTTCAGACAAGTTGCAACAAATGTTGAGTCTGGGAACTCAGGGGTAAGTCAGAGGTTAACACCTCACTGACTTTTCAGAAACAAGGAGTAACAAGATCAATGTTTGGAAGCTTGGAAAAGACGTGGAAGTATGTGATAGTCGATTTACTGTATTGTCTAAAGGAGTGTAGTTCTCTCATTTTCCAAGACTTTCCATGACTTACCAGGCTTGGTAACTGTAGTCGACGTAAGAGAATCCCATAGAACCATCTCTTAGGTTCGTAGCCTATAGGAAGTAAAAGGAGGTCCAAGGTCAGAGTACCCCTATAGACAAATTATGTCATAGACAAATTATGTCATAGACAAATTATGTCATAGACAAATTATGTCATAACTTAACCAATCTTGTGGGTAACTAAAGAGCGATGACATGTAATGAATCATAGAGGTTCGTAGGAGCTTTTAGAGCTATCGTTCATGCTCCTAGGCCTCTAGTTGGTAGAGATATGTCATGTGGTAGTATGAGTGATGTCATGTAATGAATCATAGAGGGTTGTAGAGATATGCTATGTGGTAATATCGGCCCAGTAACTAAGGAGCGATGACGTGTAATGAATCATAGATGGTTGTAGCAATCGTTGAGTAGTATTGCTCTTGTTGTTGGTGTGATAAGCCAAAATATGTATAGTGACTTGTAGGTTTGAGGAGGAGATTTCCAAGTTTGCTCTTGAGTTTGATAGCAAACTGAGTGCAACGAATGTCAGTATGACAGCCGTGACCAACCCCCCCAACTAAATGTTAAATTCCTCCACAACAAAACATGCACCATAAAAATGATGAAAGCAAATTAGTGCTAGCTATCCAAGCTATGCAAAGCAACCCAAATTTGCGCCTTCGAGTTGCAGCTAGGATCTATTCCATAGACCACCGCAAGCTACGTCACCGTTTACAAGGCGTACCTTCACGACGCGATATCCAAGCCAACTTACGGAAATTAAGTAACCTAGAGGAATCAGTTCTTGTTCAGTATATACTTGACTTAGCTGCTAAAGGGTTCCCTCCTCAGTTGTCTATTGTTGAAGATATGGCAAATCGACTACTTGCAACATGCGACGCGCCACGCATCGGGTCACGTTGGGCTTCAAACTTTGTTAAGCGCCATGTAGAGCTCCGGACACGCTTCCAGCGAAAATACGACTACCAGAGGGCTAAGTGCGAAGATCCAGAAGTCATTTGTGGCTGGTTTGAGCTTGTATGGAACACAATTCTAAAGTATGGCATCAACAATGCAGATATCTACAACTTTGATGAGACTGGGTTTATGATGGGTGTCATCTCAAGCGCAACGGTAGTAACGAGCTCAGATGGGCGGGCAAAGGCAAAAAAGGTGCAGCCTGGCAATCGGGAATGGGTTACAGTAATCCAAGGCATTAGTTCTCAAGGTTGGGCAGTGCCGCCATTTGTCATTGTGGCAGGTAAAAACCACCTTGCATCTTGGTATGAGAATAGCGGATTTCCAGCAGATTGGGTAATCGCTGTTACTGCAAATGGCTGGACTACAAACGAGAGAGGTATGGATTGGATTCAGCATTTTGAGAAGCACACAAAGCCCCGTAGTGTTGGTGGTTATCGCTTGTTAGTCCTTGATGGTCATGAGAGCCACCACTCAGACAAGTTTGAGGAGTACTGCAAAGAACACAACATTATTACGCTTTGTATGCCTGCTCACTCTTCCCATATACTCCAACCACTTGATGTTGGCTGTTTTGGCCCATTAAAGAGAGCTTACGGTCGGCAAATTGAAGATATGATGCAGGCTCATATTATTCACATTACTAAGGGTGACTTCTTTCCTGCCTTCCACGCTGCATTTAACATTGCAATGACAGAAAGCAATATTCAGGGAGGGTTCCGAGGTGCTGGGCTTCTTCCATTTAGCCCTGAGAGTGTAATATCTACACTTGACCTTAGGTTTAAGACGCCAACACCTCCAACCTCTCGCCCAAACACCACTCAACCATGGGTTTCTCAGACACCAAATAACTCAACTGAAGCTGTATCACAGTCTACTTTCATTAAAAACTGAATTGCGCATCATCAAAATAGCTCTCCAACCTCAATCTATGTAGCTGTTGACCAGTTTACAAAGGGTGCATCGCAAATAATGCATCAATTAGCATTGTTAGAAGCAGAGAACCAAAACCTGCGACAGGAAAATGAAGTGCTAAGCAAGCGCCGGAGAGCTAAAAAAACACGACTACAGCAAGTAGGATCACTTAGTCAACAGGTAGCACAGGTGCTACAGGACGAGAGGGACGTTGTGCAGCAAGTAGAGCAAGAAATAAGGGCAAGTAGTGGTCGGAAGCCAAGGGAAGAAACCCATGCACGTCGCTGTGGCAAGTGTGGTGAGACTGGACACAATGCGCGCACTTGTCAGATTGTAATAGACAGGTCTGAAAGAGGACTCTGAGTAGTTTTAGTTAATTTATATTGTTGTGGTGGATTTATCGCAATTCTTATGGGGTAGTCGCGATATTTTGGCACTTTCGCTTGTTTGGCACTTTCGTTATACATGCATGTTATGATTATATGCTTTATAAATGATCATGATTATGATTACGACTACATAATCATAATTATAATTGATTTTCTAACCCGGAATACAGGTATAACAGTTTGACAGCAGTATTGCAGCTTTAAAGTGAGCAGCTACAGGCTGCGATTGTGACTGTAACCCCTTGTCAAATGCTATATATGTCTATAACTGTTGTGTTATCTCAAAGGCGTTCTCTACTGAAATTCTTACAGACAATAGCGCCTTATTAAACTACAGTGGCACCTATACCTTACATACAAGAAGCTGTTATAGTTTGAAGAACCGATTGAAGACAGTGGTGGGTGTGGTCAAATATAGGGGTTCATTAACGGAACCTTCTAAGGCTTTTGTCGACTAGCAGGAGACTCCGAAGTCTAGTGGCAGTGGTATTCTAGATATCAAAAGAAGCACAGAATGCACTTCCAAGCAATTGTAACCCTAAACAGGCTTGTATCGTCCTTAATTAGACCATATAACAGACTAGCAAACAACTAGCAAATATGGCAGGATTCTAGCTGCGTATAGCGGATCCGGCATACTATAGGAGGAAGAAAGGATTTATATCTTTATAGGGACCCTGCCTACCGTTGTACAGAGGGTATTCTAGCCCCATATACTTGTCCTCGTGGTCATCGATATCTTCTGCAAAAGCGAGTTCAGCCTCAAACTTGTGTACTAAGTGGCTCATTACGTTGTTGAAAACTGTAGAGAGCCATGCTAGCAATTGCCTAAAAAGATCAGCGTAGGTTGACTAATGCCCTGGATACGCAAGGCGAGCTAGGACTACACAAAGAGCAGTCTCTAAGTCTGGCTTTACCCGGTCTCTCCATTCGATTTTATAAAGCCGAAGGAGTGGCACAAGCTAGGCAATTTCCTTGATTGAAAACCTTAATAGTATAAGAACCTATACCCTAAACCTCAACCCCTATATATCAATTACTTACCAGAACTTGTGTACTACCTGCCCTGGAGTTTGACTACCCCACAATCGTAGATTCTAGTTAAACTTCTCATATTCGTATGTAAGGCGAACAACATCAACACGCTCAACTGTTGCCAATACTTCGTCGCAACACCACTCTAATGTGATGGAACCCCCGATATCCTTTGGTGGCGTCAACTCCAGCTTCCAGGCCGGGATCGTTAACGGTTCGGTCCATAGCGAGTGTCATCACCATGCTGCTCCCGGTGAGTTGCAAAGGGTCCAAGCTGGATGGCGCTAATGACTGCCCCACTCTAGAAGATCCCATCTGCCTCCTCCCGTTTGCAACACACCTTAGGGGGGTTGGCCCATTTTTCGATTCCATTGGACAGGATTTATCGTAAAAAATGGTCTAATACCAATATACACCATGCTACGCAGCCAATCTATTGGCTGCGTAAGCTGTACCTAGCTACATATTCTATTGCCAAGCCTATTGTGCCACTATTCCCACTTGGCACTATTCCAACAGCCAATCATAATATATAAAGGAACACGCTTACACAATAAGGTAGTAGTAGACACTATGCTAGGAATAGTATTGAAACCAGGGTTACACTAACAGCGTTAATAAATAGACACCTGTATAAGAGACAATTGTCAGAGTTAAATAATCCCAAAAATAAACACGTGACACATTGGCAAAATACACGTGATATATGGTCAACTCTATTATTACGAGGGTATAATTAAGGAGACAGTGTTTATATTATACTAATGAAGCAAATACTATATTATTATAACCCCTCCTCGAATACGTCTTGTAAACTACGTCTACTGCTATAAGCACCGTTGGTATCGTCGTCGTAGTGGTCATCGTCATCGTCATCGTCATTCTCATCATCCATAAATTGCTCAGGCCTGTCGTTACTACTTCCATCCTCGTCTGCCGAACCCCAGTCA